TCCATGGCTGACATAACCAAAATACTTTCAAGCATCACATTTTTGCTTGAGAAAGGCTTTTTAAGCCAGGCAGAGGAAATTGTTATAACCTATACCTTACTGTTGCAGGGTTGTAAGCAGATGACACGGGTTAGTGTGCCTACACTCTGAAAGGTATCAGACTTTATGGTAAACACACACAGTTACACCAGCCAAACGCATGGGTGTATCATAGAGACTTATATACCAGGATGCAGCTACATGAATGGCTCCCCGCTGACTTGCATCACGAAAGTCTGCCTCTTGAGAAGAGCGGGAGCAGTAACAAGTCTTACCCTCAGATCTGGAAGGCACATTCTGAATCAGTGGATTTTGCACTTCAACTTCAATAAGCTAACCTACTTTACAAAAGTGATATCCCCACCTCATCTTGGTTCTCACAGTTCCAAGTTACACAGGCTGCAAAAGACCTACGAAGAAACAATTTCTGAAAATACACCTCTTCAGTCAGCAATCATCCCCACACAGTCCCCTGACAGACAGCAGAAGGCCTGGACATAAAAGCAGGCTCAAATCTTGTCTCTAACCCAGGACATGACTACTCTCAGTCACCCTAGTGATTCCTCAAGAGTGGCCCACCTCTAATACGCAGTCTTCAGAGAATGCCCATCAGCAGTCACTTGCACGAAAAACATGGACAAGTGGGCTAGTGCTAAGATCTTATGAAGAGCATTTTAAAGGGAAAATTTTCAAGGAGCTGTCATAACCAGGTTCTGAAAGGCATTCTGCAGACACCAAGGGAATTCTTCAACATTCCTTTTAAAACTAGTTTGGGCAAAGCAATTATCTGTCCCTTGAAACAAAAGTCTTGAAACAAAAGTATATCAAATCTCTGGCACAGCAAGAACTAAAAGTAAACCCACTACCAAGCTCAGCATCCCTCCCCCCCCCTCCTTCCCATTGGGATTTGCTTTATTGTAATCTATGTGGGAAGCCACAGCTACCACCTGCTTTGCTGCACTAAGGAGTCTCTCTGGCCTTATAATTATCGAACAAGAGCCCATCAAACAAAACAGAAGAACAGTTAAGGTTGCAATGGCTCTCTTGAGATAGTTTAGCCTATCTAGAGCCACCATGCCCTTGTGAAAAGCATTAGCAGCTATTCTCACTTGCAGACTTCCCCACTCTGATCTCACAATATACTAAAGGTGCTAGATTAATGCTACCAATATTTCAACTTTGTTCCACATGAAAAGCATGAAACCCACGAAAAGGGCTATGCCTGGCTTTAAAGCACAGTCTCCTCCAAAGCTGTCTTTGTGCACCTGCAGATTCAACGAGCAGTATATAAACCGCAGCTCTCTTCCATTTAACTCATGTTAATGACACCATCTAGTGGATTACACACAGATAGACAATTTTTTTTTAATCAGTAATAAAACGCAGTAAAGTAACACCAGAGTAATTTCTAGTAAAATTACAGAATGCAAATATTGCTTATAAACAATGCATACTAAATAAACTTGTGTGCATGCCAGTCACTGAAAGGTGACTCCACAAACAGTTGTAGCACTACCGAAATAACCTTTAATCAGATCAAGAAGCCAATACAAAGCTGAAAACAGGTATCTTTATCTCTTTCTGTAAGCTTCACAATCACCTAATCATTTTTGCTTCTTCACATAATTCCAACTTCTATCATCTCTCTGCAGAAATATTTCAGTTATTCAGGGGGTGCTTTTATCCTGTCTTCAGGCTTTGCTTTCATAATTTTGATGCGAGATGGACAATAGTGCCTTTTACACTCCAGCCTTCATCACAGGAAAGGTGCTTCCTCAAGCTAACCAAAAGCTGTTGTGCTGACCAGACTGACATGACTGTTTTTTCTAACCTGCCCACTCTCCAGCACAGGCAAACACACTGAGTATGGTGAGTGAAGCATCCTGGAACTGCATTGTTCTGAAAGGAGGAATTTGAAGCATTGAGTTGAGTGGCTGCACCCATCAGGCTACTCCAGCCAGTATCTGCAGCCTTAAAACAACAATTATCGTTTAGTTTACAACAATAATCACCTTGCTATGCATCTACTCCGGTTAAAACAAACAAACAAACAAACAAAAAAACCTCAAACAAACCAAAAACCCAAAAAACAGAGCTTCTGTAACAGTAATGTGCCAGGATTTAAACTACAATAGTGGACAAAACAAGCTCTCACCTGATAATTGCAAATTACACAGTCCTTATAAACTACTGAAGGCCACTCAGGGGGCCAAGCCCTCTTCACCACCCGCCTGAAAGGGTAACTAAGATGAAGTGGAAAGTTTTCACCCAGTTTATGATAGCAAAGAAAGCATAGTGGGTGTCAGGAGGATGGGGCCAAAAAACTCTTTTCAGTGGTGCCCAGAGACAGGACAAGGGGCAACGGGCACAAACTGAAGCAGAGGAAGTTCCAGCTGAACACGAGGAAAAACTTCTTCCCTCTGAGGGTGATGGAGCCCTGGCCCAGGCTGCCCAGAGGGGCTGTGGAGTCTCCTTCTCTGGAGATATTCCAGACCCGCCTGGACAAGGTCCTGTGCAGCCTGCTCTGGGTGACCCTGCTTCGGCAGGAGGTTGGACTAGAAGACCCACAGAGGTCCCTTCCAACCCCTACCATTCTGTGATTCTGTGATACCCTAACCCCAAATTTCTTAAAAAAAGTAATTCAGATTGGTAAAGCACACATTTCAACTGGTACATTACATAACAAGCTGAAGAGCACCAGCAGCAAGAAAGAAAAATTTTGCTTGAGGAAAAAAACCCCCAAACATAGCATGCAAAGGAAAGCCAGGCAACAGCAAGACCTAACACTGGGGAAGGCCATGTTTCCTTTGCCCCACTCAACACCCACAGCAAACGCTACACCACCACACACAGCTGTCACACCCACGCAGGACCCGCGAGGGATGAGGGCTTCCCCTCCCACTCCCTCACTGTGAGGGCAGAAAACTCCTTCCTTCCCTACAGTTCTTCCTGCAGCAGGGAAAACAGCTCAGGGCCGCACCCTCACACCACCCCACCACGCAGTAACACCAAACGGCAACCGCCCACACCGACAAAAATGGCAGACGGGCGGGCTCGCCCAGGAGCACGCATGCGCACGAGCACGACGCGGGGGACGA